GCGCATCATACTTCCAATTTAGTGTCCCTGGAGCTTCTGGAGTTGCCACTTTTGGTCTTGAAAGTGGCTACTTTGGAACTTTTAATGCCCAAACTTGCTGTAGTTTCCACTTTTGCTCCTAAAAGTGGCTACTTTGGGGGCAACTTTCATCCAAAGACCAAGATTTCTCAAATTTAACTCGGGCACTCTGCAAAATCATCACGATAATTAAAATTGCAACCTATATCTATGTAATTAAATGCAAATTAACCAAAAATTAATAAACCTATGATATTTACTCAAAATGTGATTTCTATATTATTTTCACTATCTAAGTCCATTTTTTCTATCAAAGAGCACCAAAAAGGCAAGTAAAAATATAATAAAAAGTGGATTCATCAATCACTCTAGAGCTCAAAGAAAAAGTAAAGCCTGGGCGTTACCACTTTTGCCAGGAAAAGTGAGAGTTCCAGAGACTTATGCTTTGTTTTTATACTCGTGTGAAGTAAATTCCTAACTATTCTTCATTCCTATCTCAATCCATTACAACTTTTATACTCTGTTTTTACTGCAAGTTAATTCTTTGTATTGTTCTGGTTTATTGATATTATAGATTACAAATCTCATTCAAAATTTGTATGGCTCAAATGGTTGTAATTCTGTGAATTGATACTTGAAATCTAAATTCCCTATGGAGATGATATTTTGTTCTTAAAAATTACTCATTACTTACTGCAATCCTAGTGCACTTGTGTTGTTCGCAATCTACACTAGCAAGTGCACTAGGATTGCAGCAAGTAATGAGTAAATTTAAGATCCAAATATCGTCTCCACAGGGAATTTAGGTTTCAAATACCACTTCATAGAATTATAACCATTTAAGCTTTTTTGAAATTGGAAGGAGAGTAGTAACATGTAATAACAGCAAACTAGAACAATTAAAAGTAAAATGAACTTGCAGAAAACAGAACAATGAACACACAGTTATGTGATAACAGAGAAAGAAACCATAGCTAGGGAATTGCTTCACCAAAACTCCAATGTTTAATCAATAAAGTTCTGAATTAACAAGAAATTAGAAAGAATGACAATCAGTTTCACATTATATTATTCAGAGGTTAATTCCTTAACTCAGTGAACCTAACATTCAATTAAACCATTCTAATTCCTTAGATCTGATTCAATTCAATATTGCTTTAATTGTAAGAAACCAGAAGATTGCAAAATCAAAGCCTCTTATCCCTAAGAAAACTATAATCTCGGTGATTGGTTCAAATCTGAAGAACAAATTCAATTTCCATTGACAAGAGTTCCTCTGAATTTGGTTAATCAAATTTCCATTCAATTTCCACGTGAAGTTCAGAATCAATCACTCAATCTATTCCAAAGCTTGAAATTCAGATCCAAATCAATTGAACATGTTCGTTTCAGATCTACAATCCCTAACTATGAACGAATTACACAGCCATGGCAGCAGAGAAAAGAAAAGAAAGAGAAGAAGAGAAAAAGAAACTCAGAAATGCCATGGAAGCTTGCTCCACTCCAATTCCTCTTCGTGAAGCTCCAAGATTCGAATCCCCACTCCTCTCTCTCACTTCCTCTAACAAGAAGCTAACTAAAAAAACTGAAAATGAACAGAATCCTTTCTTTCCGGATCGTTTCTGGTATTTATAGAATTTCCCAGATTTTCACGTCATCACTTTTATTAGAAATAGTAGTTACGTAGAGAGTTTTTGGTTGCGCGTTAACACTTTTCCCAGAAATAGTGGCCACGCGCATTTTCCTGATATTGAGAGCTCTCTGGAACTACCACTCTTGTTGATAAAAGTGACAACGCAGAGCCAAGGTAGTTGCGCGTTATCACTATTGCTGATAAAAGTGATTACGCGCAACTCACCAAGTTGAAGACTCTCTGAAACGATCACTTTTGATGACAATAGTGGTCACGCAGAGCTTTCTTGATATTTTGCCTCTCTGGAACTATCACTTTTAATGATAAAAGTGGTTATGCATAGCTTTCCTTCTTCTTTGAGCTCTGAAGTGATCACTTTCACTGACAATAGTGATCACGCCCAGTCTGCAATTTCTTATTCTTGTATTTTTGGAGTCCAGACTTGCTTCTTTCCTCTTCCTTGTCATCAAACCTCCATGGATATGATCCTTGCTCAATTTATTCCTTCAAAAACAAGATTAACAACTTAATTCCTAAGCAAAAATTTCACAATTGCAAAAATAACTACAAATTTAAACAAAACTTCATTTCCTTCTCTTTTTCTGAGTTTTTCTGCTTTCTTTATATATTTTTCTTATCAAATGTGTTAGAATTATGCTAAAATATCAGTCAAAATATGGATTCATCAACTTGCTAGTGTTAGATTGCAAACAACAGTTTCTCGCTACAGCGAGAAACCTCCAGAAACTTACTTTTCTGCAACTTCATGCTTCAATTACTCCTTTCTCTAACTTTTTCTAATCTTATTCAACCTTAAGTGATGTTTCTTTTGTGATTCCAGCTACAAAATAGATCAAGAAGAGCTTAAAACCATAAAATTGCATTCATTTCAAAAATATATATGTATTTGTAAAAGTTCCAAGTTTGAAGGGAATTTAGCAAAATAATCCAACTTTTAACATAAAAAGTATTTAAGTGTCCATCTCAAATCACTTATTTTATACACTTATCAACTCCCCCCAACCTAGAATCTTGCTTGTCCTCAAGCAAAGTAATTGAATGCACAAAAATTTTTACAAAAAAAAAAAGAATTTTTAAAATTGATTTGAGATAAAATCACTCATAGTTGCTTCCATGTTCATCATCTAAGATTTTTCAAAACCTTTCAACTAAAGGGAACTGTTCATGATCAAAGATTTGGGTTATCCATTTAAAAGAATTAGGATACTAGTGTACTTCATTTCAAGAAAATGAGAGTAACATCATTCATTAATCAAAAGAAAAATTCTCTCATTCTCACAAATTTAGTGTTTCTCTCACTCTCTTCAATGAATCCCTCATGTTTGACTTTGCTCTTTGCTTCCCATCAAACTAAGCATACACAAAAGACATAGATCATAGGGTCTTTCAAAAAGTTGTAATGTGTAACATCCCCAATTTTAATTTGTGTACTTATGGTTATCCGAGTTTAGTTAGCCTTTATTAGTACTACTATTATTATATTGATTGATTTTCGTACATTTTTTATAATCTTGTGGTTGGATGATTTTATGAATGTTCTTTTTTAATGATGATGGTCTGAATTGCTAGGGTCCCTGCTACACGATAGAGCCTGTTATTTTTATGTGCATGTGTTATAATAATTATATGATGAGGTTATCTTAAATAACCCTAGGTTAGTGAGATTAACCTTAGGGCAAAAATGTCTTTTGGTCAAATAGGAGGACCCCATTTTACTTCATGACAATTGAGATTAATGCTTATATTATCCTTTTTAATTCATGTTACTTAATTTTTTTGCTAGATATTTTCTTAAACTAGTAGAACAACACGTGTGGCTTTTCCTCTCTAACTTTAATTGGCCACTTAAGGAAAGCCACCCTTTTGGCCTAGATTCCACGTGCAACATAAAATTTTAAGAGACACTTTTCAATCTTTCCTCATTTAAGTCTTATAGCCGAAAAGCCATTCAATGCCTAGGGGGAGGGAGAAATTCGAATAGACACCTTATGATTTTATTCAAATATATCCCTCTTAATTAGGGCAACCAATTTTCGTTAATGCATATGAGATAGGAGAGAGAGAAATCGGCCATAATGACCTAGATTCTCAGCCTAAATAATTGTATTTAACACAATTATCAATTCCCTAGTTACCCTAATTAAAATGTAGCCATTTGTCCTTTCCTAAACCGTTACATGTTAAATTGCAATCAATTGAGATTCCCTCATAAAAGGTGCAACCGGGAATTAAAGGAAGATTAGAGCCCAAAATCCCTTCCCAAAACGTAAACTCTTCCTATTCTCATGCCCTTTATTATAACTGACCAATTTAATTCCATTTGACATTATTCCAATGAACATTTATTGAGAAATTTCCCATACTTAATCACTCTCACGAGAAGCCTTTTCACCTAGCCGTTACATGCACCATAATTGCCTTAATTACCTCCCACATACCTTCAACCTCTCGAGAATATGAATGGACACACGCTCAAATTCCCTTTCCCATATAATTGGAACCGCCAGCCGCATTTAGGGAGAAATGATGTTAGCTTGAGAAGCCGCCACCTAAGGCACTTAAAACCCAAAACCGTGCATGACATTAATTGCATATTCACCCCCTTAATTGCAAACTTTTTAGATTCTCATGCGTGTTTAATTGGTGCTGACCGGATTGTCATAAATTAGCAGGATTCTTGCAGACAATCATTAAGGACGCCCTTTCCATTCCCACTTACTCAAATAACCTTCCATTTCCCCATTTAACTGCCACTAGATTTATTTAATTACCCACTTACATTTATTTAGGCGTGTCAATCAACCTAGAACGTTTCAAATGGAGCCATTACTTCCCCAAATCCGTGCCCGACATTGATTATATTTACCTTCCTTAATTACCTTGCATTAATTGCATGAACCAACTAACCATTCACGTTGTTTTTCCTAATCATCGCGTCCTAATTGCGTTTAAACCGAGGGGGCCTCACCTCCCTCATTTAAACCGTCATTCAAGTTACCTAAATTACCTATTAACCGCATTTAACCTCACGAGAAATTTAAACAGCAACATTTATTTTGGAAACTATGCCTCATTAATTGCATGCAATTATTTCCTGTTTAATGGCACTGGCCACACGCCCAAGGCAAAGAGAAAGGCGCCACCTTGCCTCAAAGAGTACAAGAGGCACCGCCTTTTCATTAGCCACTCAAAAGGACATCACCCTTTCAAATTCGTGGGACACGAAGGGTTTGAACCCATTTCCCTCCACAAGAAAACCCTAGCATCCAACACGCATTAATTACTCACTCTTGCCTAGGTCAAACCCCCATTCGGTTACTCCATCGTGATGAATGGCGTGTGGAGACGTGTGGATCACCAACAGCTTGTTACTTTTGCACTCTGTGCATTGGATGCTCTCGACAAGGCGCATCACCTACACTTGGACACCATGAGATATGACTATTCAAGTGAGAAGGCGAAAAGGTATGTCACTTCACCTAACCTAGCCCTAAAACCCTTCTTGTGCAACTCACCGCCAGCCTTTGGGAGACAAATGGGCAAAGCTTTAAGCCACACTATATAAGGACACCTTTTAATCCTCACGCGCCCTTTTTCCCTTATTTTCAAAAACACTCTCAACCTCACCACTGCTTTTCTCTCTCGACACCTTCTCACCCTCACACAAAACCCTCTACGCCCTTTTCTCTCATGGACAACACACTTCATCACCAACCACTCCAGGAGGCGACAAAACACCAAGGACTCAAGTCGTGACCAAGATCCTGCTAGTACCAAGGCTAAGCCTTCCACCCTATCTCTCTTTCTCAAAACAGACAAGGTTAAGGGAGCTCTTGTTTGCGCTTCAATGCATGTGGTTGTTCGTTAACTTGTAAACTCTGCATGCACTCTTTTTTTTTTTTTCGTCTCCGATCTTCATCAATGAAAATTTCATGCAAACCATTTTCCTTCATCTTGTGGTGATTCTATCTGGATGGTGTTTTAAAAATCCATGTTTTGTAACTTGCATGAACTTGATTGAGGTTGAAATAGTTTTGCATGTTGATAATATTGAAATCCTTGTATGAGTCTCGGTTGTTTACCTATATTATTGAATAAAGTTGGTAACTTTGATGAATATCCGATTGCATGTTAAAATAACTCTATGAAACCTTGTGTTCTTTTCGGTTTTCATCGACTACCCTCCTTCCTTTTTGTTTTAGCTGAGAAATAACTCATCTTTATCTCTTGGTTTGATTTTGTATGACCAAGGAACCTTTTTTCTTAACCATGAAAGAATTCTCCTATCACCTAATCACTATTTTACAAAAATTTTGTGGTAAAAATGAGTTGCATGTGTGATTAAACTTGCGGTTATTTCCATGATTCTTTAACGATTATTTTGTTTGTGAAGGTACATTTCGACTATGATATTTCAACGAAATTTTTTTATAATTATCTCCATCTTCCCTCCTTTTTCTTTTATTCTTGGACCATGGACGAATGGTTCTTCTTTTCCTTGAACGTGCTAGCTGTTATGATCGTGAATTAGTTATGTAGTTTGTGACCTTTGAGAATAAAATGCGTGCTCTAAAAATGGTGTAAGGAGGATACGGTTACAAAACTTTTTATGTGCATAATATGGAGGATAGAGAGTCAAGGTCACAGTTTAGCACAGCTGAGGGATGTGAGTGTTCAGGTTCGAGGGAAGGACCTTGGGGGTAGTGGAGGGGGTTTGCCCCAATGGTGCGGAATAGCTCACCGTGGCCAGGACAAGTCACCATCGAAACCTCCACTAATCCTAACGCGAGCAAGCATTACCGAGGATCGTGGAAGGACTCGTTGCTGAGGGACCAAAATGGTTAAATGGGAGAATATTCCTGATGGATTACATACGATGTGTGCTTGTAGGGAACGAGGTCCTCCGATCACCTTGACTGGAGGAATGGTGGGAACAAACTGAGGAAGTAGTGACGTTTTAAACGTTAGTGTTTAAATTATGTTGCGACAAATCTCTGTGAATTTGCCTGCATTTTGTAACTGTTTATTTGGCATTTTGTTATGACTGTGTGTTTATTGAAATGTGACTTCGTAAGTGCTTGATACTACTCTGATTTCTTTACTTACTAAATATCTGATGACTGATTGTATTGGAGCTCACCTTCTCTGTTCGTGTTCTATTGTTGTGTGTTTGTATGTATTGCATGACTATATGATAGATGGACCTTCAACGAGCAATGATATGAGGAGAAGACTCCGACAAGAAAGCGGCATGGAGATATGACTAGGCAACACACCGTCTCGTGTACCAGGGGATGGTCTCCATGACCATGGGGCCTCTCACTGAAGGCGGCTGGAAGCCTAGCTGGAGTGATCACCTTTTGGAGACGTCTTCGTACCTCTACCTTCGGAACGGAGTATTATCATCCACTCACCCCCTCCTTCTCCACCACAAGAATCCCCAGCCAAACGTCTTAAAATTTTCATTGACAAAGGTAAGACCGTTATCAATCTTGACCCAGAGCCTACCCCTCCTCCCAGCCCTTCTCCCGCTCCCGAGTTAAAAGATGTTGAGGTTATCGAGTCTTCCATTAGGCCAACACCTCGCCACCTCCCACAGATTCGAGCACCTCCTCCCGACGAAGCTGGACCCTCTATCCGACGCCCTTCACCACCACCACCTGCTTCTCGATCGCTCTCACCCACTATCATCTGAATTGATAGTCACCTGAACGACCTGCCACCCTCCCCTCGGCCCCAGCCACTGGACGACTCTCACGACTCTGACAGAATAGAGTCTGACCCCAGCGAGAATTCCTTTCCGTTAGAGTTTTATTTGTAGTTGTTTTATTTTGTGATGGATTAATACTGCTCATAGAACTTGGGTTGTCTTTATTATTTTGAAATACTGAACTTTGGGGTTATTTGGCTTTGATTTTTGTTTTACCTTGGACACTTTGGTTGGATGGTTTATATATATACTTTTCTTTTACCAACATACTCTTTATTATATTTCCATAATTTTTATCTTCAACAGTGCCGTCATTTTAGAGTCATCCTGAGAATAATTGGACTAATTAACATAAATGACTTGTATGTTGTTGAGATGCGAGATTAATTAAATTATATAATTTATGATGAGCGAACTCGATGCAAATACATTGTTATAATCGTTATTTTTATTTAGTTAGTTCGAGTTATTCTGGTAAATTAAATATTTGAGTTGGAATGTGAATACTGTTTGCTTGAGTTCTCTCACTCGTCTAAATTTAGGTGCGCCATATTGTAGAGTCTTAAGTCATATTATAAGTATATGGAGTTTTGGTAGAAATTAGGTGTTACATAATGTGGCTAGGCTTACAAATAATTCATTTTTTTTCTGGAATTCAAAATGAGTTAGAGCATTAATGCAATCAAGATCATTATCTATTCTTAGATTTCCATCTCTATTACTTCTCACTCTAATTAGCACCACATTTTTGTTATCCCTTGGATGTCTCCCTCTAATTTCAACATTTTTCTTTTCTTTTGTCATTATTTCTTTTCTTTAACTAGAGGAAAACATGTAAGACCTATCATGCCCTAATGCTCTTTCTCAAAGGTATGGAAAATTCTCATGTAAAGGCTTGAGGTACATACATTTTTCAAAAATTTGCTTTTAGGCACAAAGGCTGCCAAAGATTGGATAAATCTTGACTATAGGTTGGCTTTTTGGCTTTAGCTATAACAATGTATTTACAAACTATGCCTCAATCATCTCCATGACCAATTGTGCTGTATAGCAATTAGAAACTCGAGCAAAGCTAACCGTCAAAATTCAGTGAAGTTTATTCACTTATTTACAGCACTCACACTTTCACTCCTTTGTCTGAAATCATTTTTCTTTGATTAAGATAAATGAATTGCTCATATTTTCTGCTTGATTATTTCTATGCACCACACATCCTCACTCTCTTTCGCTTCAAACCTCAACTTTTCACATTCATAAAAAAAAAATCCCATTCATAAAATTTCTTTTTCTTTATTTTTTTTTCAAAATAATTCCTAGATTCAAAACATGGCCCATTTGAGTATCTCCAAAATTTGAATGGTATTACTTCCACAAACAAAAAAAGTAGTTTTTCAAATTATTTTCTAACAATAAAAATTTTTAATAACTCCACCAAGTTGTACTCATCATATAATTCTATCCCATGTAACCACCAATGCATCCATTACTCAACAAAACATGTTTAATCTACCAAGGACCATATCTACTTGCAATACTCAAATTTAAAACACCAAAAAAAATTAAACACATAGTCAAATACCACAAAAACACATATAAACAAAACAAAAATCTAAACAGTATCATAAAAGTGTCCCTTGAATTATTTTCTTCCTCTGACAAAAATTTCTCTTTATTCCTCTTCTTCCATCTCAGCACCACTGTCTTCATTGTCTTCACCGTCATCTCCATCAGCTGCTCCAGATGAGCCTGCTCCTCCCTGGAATTGTGGCATGTCCCCAGGCCACTGCTGATAAGCTGCAAACTCTTCCAAGCTCATCCATATGTGCTGACCCAGAAACTGCAGCTGAGCTTGATGATGGTAAGTTGTTGCTGATGCATTTGGCCCCTTTGGATAGCAGAATTCTGAAGAGCTAAATGATCTAATTTGAGCTCAAGACGGTGGAGGCAGTCTGCAAATGCTGGGTCCTCTAATCTGCTGGGTGATTCCTGGACTAGTGGCTTTTCAGGTTGAGGTTGAGGTTGAGGTTGTGGTTGTGATGGAGGAGGAGGTGGTGGAGCTCCAGGCTGATCTTCTATGCAATGGTTATGGACATAGGCCAGGGTGATGGCAAGCTTGATTGGTTCTGAAAATTGAATACCCCTCACTCCCTGAGCTTGACATAATGCATTGATCAACGCTGGGTACCCAAGTGAACCACTCTCTCCTCTCTTGACTACAAATCTGTAAATTTCATCGGTGATGATGCGGGCCACATCGACAGTTCCTCCTCTCAATATGTTGTACAAAAGGTAACAGTACCTCATGGTCATGGATGAAGTGTGGGCTCTGGGGACGATGTTGTGGCATATGAAGGTGGTCCACACTTAAGCTAGGGTGGTCATATTCTTCCTGTAGATCCGTAGAGCCTTCCCTTCAGGATTTGAGGTGTAACTCCTGTTTGCAATGCATAAGGCTTGAGCGGTAGCAGTATCACTGAAGGGCTGGAAGCATGATGCGAGCTTGGTGTGAAAGAAATATATTTCGCCCTCTTCAAGCTGCAAAGGATTCCCCAGAAAGTTGTTGATGGCATCTCTGGAGTAATCAACCCAAACTCCTCTTACCCTAGACCTTGTATCAAGCCTTCTGGAATTGAAATCTGGTTTAGCATTGGCGTAAAACTCTTTAACAATTTCTGGGTCATAATACCCTCTCGGTTTAGCCAAAGCTCTCCATCTTCGCCTTTCTATCTCATTGTTGAATTTAGCAAACTCTTCTTCCTTCAAATCAACTCTTCATTCTTCAATAACCAACCAATCTTGAATGTCTTTAAACCTATCTTCTTTGTCCTTATCTCTAAATTTCCTTGGATCAGATGGTGGTGGCTGTGAAGAAGAAGCTCCTTTTTGTTTCTTGGATCAAGGAGCTGGGTCTTTGTGAGCTCTAACTTCAATTCTCCTGCAAAATCAAGATAGCAGCCACACTTCAGTGAATTAACAAAGGCAATGTAAATTCAACTCAACGTATTAATTCAAACACTGTTCAAATTCACTTAAAAGATAATCCTATAATCAATAGGCTAATTTAGCTTAAATTAAATCACATCCAAGGTTATGAAATTTTTAAAAAAAAGTATCATTTGTGAAAGCATTTAAACTTCAACCAAATTTTACAATTTTCGTCATTACAATTAAGCACAAAGGACTTCTATAAACTTGTAAAGACAATCACAAAATCTGGACCACTCTCATCACCATAAGTCCACCTCCATAAAATTTTTTTGCTACCTACAAGCATTGGAGTTGGAAAGTGATTTTATGAACAAATGCTGCCAACATTACCCTTTTAAAAACCTTGACTCTGTATTTCAAAACTTAAAATTTCAAAATAACCTCCCTAAAAACCTAGGGTTCCTTGAGAATATACCCCTCTATGCCTCAAAACACCAGAACATCAATTCCCTCTCAGTTTCAGAAGCACATTGTAACCCTAACCATCAATGATTCACATTTTTAGATCTTAGGGTTTGAGAAATACACATTCAACAGCACAACAACTAAATTATCAAATTTACAACCCGATATTTGCATTTCACACAATAATTTCTGACAATTTTACACTAGAGAACTAGGCTTCATGAGTTTGGGGAAAAATAACAGAGAAAAAGGGCAAAATGACAGCAAAAGAGGAGAAGAACACTTACCCTTGACTCATTGTGCAAAACCTTAAATGAAAAAGGTAGGATTTGAACGATTTATGATGGGGAAGTAGTTTGGAGAGATTTGGGGGGAAGAGGGCTCGTTTCACATGCTGAAACGACCCTCTGTTCTGCATTTTAAAAACAGGGTCGCGAGCCTCTCGCTACAACGACACAATTCTCGCTACAGCGAGAAGGCAACAGTTCCACTCCTCAGTTATAGGCAGCTCTCGCTTCAGCGAGACAACTCTCGCTGTAGCGACAATGCAACAATTTCAATGTTTTGTTTTTGTTTTCTCTCTCTACAACGAAAGTCCTCGCTGTAGCGAAAATATCAGAAACATCTTTTTTTTCGTTCCACTCTCGCTATAGCGAGAAGGTTACATTTTGCTTCCCCAAACTTATTTTAGCACTTTTTAGCCCTATCATAATCCCTTCTTTTTCTACTCTTTTACCACTCAGTCATTCACAATCATTTCACTTTACATGTAGCATTCAAGTTCACCAAAACAAAATTAAACTAAATACCTTGAATCATACACAAAATGTCAAATTAACACCATAAACAACTAATGGAAACTTAAAAACAACAAACAAACGAACACATAAAAGATAGAATTTCACAAACAAACACTGGGTTGCCTCCCAGGAAGCGCTTGTTTAACGTCTCATAGCTTGACGCCTGTTACTTTAAGGATCATGCAGTGAAATAATGGTGGTGAGTCTCTCCACTTCACCACCTAAATATGGCTTGAGTCTTTGTCCATTGACAATCCAACTTCTCTGAGTAGCTGGATCTTGCAATTCCACAGCTCCATAAGACTTTACCTCCTTCATAAGAAATGGCCCTGACCATTTTGATTTCAATTTTCCAGGGAACAACTTTAACCTGGAATTAAACAGTAGTACTGATTGGCCAGGCTTGAATTCTCTCTTGATGATCTTTTTGTCATGATAATCCTTCATTTTTTTCCTTGTAAAGTTTTGAGGACTCATATGCTGTGAGTCTCATTTCTTCAAGTTCTTGCAATTGAAGTTTTCTCTTTTCAGCTGAAGCTTTTCGATCAAAATTGAGGAACTTCAAAGCCCAAAATGCTTTGTGTTCAAGTTTCACTGGTAGATGACATGCTCTTCCATAAACAAGCTGAAATGGGGAGAGACCTGTAAGAGATTTGAATGCAGTCCTATAAGCCCAAAGTGCATCATCCAATTTCAATGACCAATCCTTCCTTGAGGATGTTACAGTTTTCTCCAGAATGCGTTTAATTTCCCTGTTTGACACCTCTGCTTGTCCATTGGTCTGTGGATGAT